ACTGCACTCATTGCACTCAGTCTTGTTTCTGCAGAGGTGAGGCAAGAGCTTAACAGAAGTGAAGTCGTAGACCAGACTTAACTGATCCCACGAGGTCACCAATGCATCCACAGTAAAGGCCTGTAGATTCCTGGTCCCGGTGACAAACCTGCCCAGCTTGTTTTTGAACCTGGATGCCAGATGCACATATGGTGACAAAGAGCTTGAAAGACTATGGGGATCCACCAGGAGCACAGCATGGCAGAGACAGGGGCCAGAACCTTGGTACTGCGGGGGTGGTGCATATGAGTGCCAGGGGCAGACTGAAGGGAAGAGAAACAAATGGGAAATTATGGGTGCCCACAGCAAAATGCGGGAAGTGACAGTGGGCAGGGAAATTGGGGATGTGTAAATATGCTTCCTTGCTGTCCACCAAGGCTAGAAAATCTATCAGGTGGAGGGAGGTAATGACAGAGTGGGTGAATTCTATCTGGAATGTTTGAACCAGCAGGAATCTGTTTAGGAGCGTCAAGTGTAAGATGGGGTAAATCCTTATTTTGGCCTTGCAGACAGGTTGGAGTAAAACTCCTGGAACATTTCTGCCTCCGAAACAGGGACCATGACCCCCTTAGAAAGGAGCTGACTTAAGACAGTGAAGAGATCTGCCTGCCTTTGAAGAAGAACTCTGGTAAAAATGTTTATTAACTGTTCGTTTAGGTCTAGGGAGGAAAATAAAATTATACTCGCCCAATCCTCTGAGCTGACTTAGACCGGTCCTTCCAATGTCTCTTCCCCTTTGCTGCAGCGGTATAAGACGTGAGGATGCAGAGGGACATACCACTGCTGCAGCAGAGGAGACAGGCAAGAGGGAGCATTGTCACAGCCAGGTGAGGTTTGGGTGAGAGTAACTTATTTTCCTCCCTAGACCAAAATGAGCAATTAACCTTTGCAGTGCTGGGGTAGCCCCACTGCAAGGGTTAATTACATTTTGCCTTGAGTTTTTCTTTAAAATGATTCGGGCAGAACGCATAACAGGAAACAAGTCTGCGAGGAAGCAAAACTTTAGTTTGTAATCTTTGGTAATGACACTCTGAACCCAGGTGTTGGAAATGTCCCTCACCCAGAGTTTTGAGAAGACTGAACGACGTCCCTCCACCCCCTGTAAAGGTGGGGGCGTCCTTTAATTGGGAAGAGGTCTGGGAGGCCCAGGCCTTGTGACGAAACTGTGTACCTCGTTAGGGCTTGGAACACAAGGCATGTGAAGGACAAAAATAACTGTTATGGGCGGGAGCAGAAGATTTTGCTACCAAGTCTTAGATTTCTTCTTCTGAGGTAAGAAGGTACTCATCCCCCTGTAACTTCCTTAATGTCTTAAGCTGATTCCAAGGAATCGCCAAAAAGGCATCCTCCAGTAAAGGGCATGAACTCTAATGGGCATCCGGCAGACCGTCCACGCAGTAGTGCAGGAAAAAAAAACCTCAAATTGTGTAAAAAATGAGCTTCAGTCACAATAAATCCGGGGTCCCTGGCCACCGGACCAGACTGACAAGGTCTGACATATCGCCATAGTGGCTACTGCAGGTTGCATATCCGGGCCTGCAAAAGCATATGAGGCCTTAAAGAGAACTTCTTATTTTCCCTTTGGTGTGTGTGGTCCTTGAAAACAGGTGTATCCCCTACAGAGACTGTAAAGGTGCACATACACCTATTGATTTTCTTTTGGAAATAGTCCACAAATGGTCTTTCGAATGATAATTGATCAGTTGATGGGACACCATCGATTTTAATTACTGTACTCCTGGCCGAATTTCCTAGATCAGTCAGGCTGGAAAACATCTAATCGTACTAAAATCAATGGATTAGTGGCATTTTTGTACGAAAAAAAATTGCAGCAAAAAAACTGCACATGCGCAAACGAAAATCCGTTCTGTTGATCGATGAAATTCGCTGAGTTAGTATTACTAACGAACGATCAAAATCAACATTGGTCTGTGCATGATGGTCAGCAACCTTTTACACACCAAGTGCCATTTTTGAAACCATCAGACAACCGGGTGCCAGTGAACAATAGCACGCCATAGTGTTAATTTAGATTTAAATTTTTTCACTCATAGCTGTACTGCTAATAGTAAGTTAAACTCACTAATTCTTTTAATGTGCTTACCTTGCCATTAGCAGCACATCTATAAGTGAAGAAATGTTATAACTAGTGCACACACAAAACATTCATATTTACATGTGCTGAAAAGTATACTGGACAGTTTTAGCGCGATCCATGTGTCTTTATTTGATGGCTCAGTTGTGCTATGTCTGGCCTGTAGGATATTACTTTCAGCTGACCTTAGACCAGCACCAATGCATTCTTTGAATGCCAGACCTCAGAGCAGCACCAATGCCCTGCAGACCGCAGAGCAGCACCAATGCCCTGCAGACCGCAGAGCAGCACCAATGCCCCATCACATCAGGCAGGCTGGCACAAGAGGGATCCTTCAGGCAGGAGCTTGCGCAGAACAAGCTGAGGGCCCCGTCAGCGCGCCTCTGCATTCCTATGCCGCTCAGCCACGTCACTGAGGTGGGTGGGCCAGTACATGTAATTGACAGCCGGCTCGAGGGAGCTGTCAACTACAAGCAAAAAGGTCTTCTTTCCAGTATGGTCCAACAAGGCTCTGCTAGGGGGGAAAAAAATGACCACATGGGTGCTGGAGCCACAATGGCTTAGAGCAGCATTAGGGAAACTTGATAGAAGAATTTTACATAAAAATTTCAGCGAAAAAGTAAACAAAATGAGGCAGGCTGGGAGTGGGAATAGTTATGCACGGCTGTCCTGCAGCATTGATTGATTTGCCAGTGACAAATCACCTGAAGGCAGCTGCAAAACCAGTGGTTAAATAATTTAACTCCCTGTGCTATGTGATGTCATGAAATTTACATACATTAAAGTGCATAGTCTGGGTACAGGTTCAATTTAAATCAATGTGACAGTGTATCCCAAAGACTAATTTAAGACTAATCCCAAAAATAATGGCGTGTTGTTTGGCTCTGTACACGATTTTGAACCTGGTGATTCAGTACATAAGAGGAGCTGGTCAGATATTAAAAATGTGTGTCAAAACTTCTGTTTCTGTTCGTGTCCATGTATCCTAAAAGTGTTTGAAGATAGGTTTGTTTTATGTAGCAACAGGTCACTGCTCTTTGACATACTGCCCATCGATTGAGAGAGGTAGGGGGGGTAAGGGGGGAGAGAGGTTCTTTTAATGCAACCAATCGATTAGCTGAAAAAATACTTGGCGAAATAATCGATTATAAAAATTATTGTTAGCTGCAGCCCTACTTATAACTTGCCTGTATGTTACATACTGAATCTAAGACTGATGGGACAATTAAACAAAAAACTACTGCATTTTTAAAAGGAGTAATGTTATGCAATAGATGTGCTTTACGGCTTGTTCTCACAATGCACGTTTCTGTGTTACTGAAATCTTAACTCAACAAAGCAAAGTAGGAAGACTGAATAAGGCCAAATATAATATAGAGCTCTCTCTAGTGTTTATTCTATAAATCTCTATATTACAACATTTCGCAAGAGCAAGGCTGTACAAATGTTTAACATCAGAATGAACCCTAAATGTAAATACCGCAATAGCTTAAAATAGGTGTTCACCTAAAATACTCTAAATTTTCCCTTTAATGGAAAAAAAAGACCACAGCATTCTGTTAAAATTACTGAAAAAGGAATAAATGGTAAGAAGTGACAAATCCATGATTGTTACCTAGGGCAATAAAAAGGGTAAACAAGTAACAAAACCAAAAAAAAAAAAGTGAGGGAGAGGGATTCAGAAATGTCCAGGGGTCACACTCTTACTGCCCAGGACATCCACTCAATAGTGATAATTAAAAGGTATGCATGCCAGTCAAGGTAGTTACACTGCAAACCTCAGACAGACAATCATCCCTGACCTGATCTAGTTCAGTTTTTTCTTGCCACTTTACTTTGTAGGATGACAGCATAATAAACTCACTTCGGTATGGACGATCTTAAATCAATAGATTTGTATCACCTCTCAACTTATTTGCCTATACTGAGTATTGTAAATGACAACTCTACATTCTCTTTCTTTAGCAGAGTTCTTAGGAGAAAAGCTTATACCCAAGGAAACCTGAAAACTAAAGGGGGGGTGGGGGGGGGGAGAGGTCTAAAAAAAGAAATTAATGCAGCCACCCGATTTAAGGACTGGTAAGTTGCAATCACATACATTTTTCTTTCTGCGTTTAAATACACAATGAATATCATTATTATCCGTCTCATACACCTGCAATTCAGGCACCAACTATTGATCTCTTTGGAACCCTGGTAGTAATCTCATTTTGTTTTGAAGAGCCCTATATCGGTGTGACAACTGATACATTATCTCTCATAATAGACACATAGTGCTAACTGCCAATCAACCCAAACTGACTCACATTTGCATCTGTAGCCACAAAGGTTTCTATTTCTTCTCCATCAGAAACCCCTCTTTGCCATCTGATGCTCTTTTTTTAAAGCATCAAGAAACCAGCACACATCTTATCTAAAGACTTCTGAATAATTTAATGCAACTTGATACACAAGTTACATTAAATATTTATAAAGTTTTCTTTTTTAAGTACAAAATGCAGTATAAAGTGGAATTTCATGCAATCATTAGGAGCTGTTGCATATCTGTGGCTGTATATTTAATAGATTTGGGAAATATTCTAACCACTCAATAAGAGCACAAAAAAAAAGAAGGTCACAGCGCATTGCAATTATTTGTACTGAAAGTGTCATTAATTTTCATTACATTTTTGTATTACTTTAAATATGGAATACTTAATGCTGCAGCACAAACACAAAAATAGAAAATAAACCCAAATTAGACTTATGCTGCTGAAATAACAGTAAAAACAAACCCATTGTTGCAACGTAAGCTTGTATGCATTACCTGTACAAACCTATGTGAAACAATCTTAAATGTCATAGGTTTCTGTAAAATGTAACATACCTGGTGAGATAATGCATTGGTCTGCCGTGCAGTCATCTGTTGATCATAGTATGCATCTCCAAACATGCTGCTCAAGATTGAATGCTAAAAGTAAATAAAAAGTGTTAGCAATATTTCCTATATAAAATCATTTACAAGCTCTGTAGAAATTATCTTCATAAAACAAGAAAGCATGTTAAGAATTAGACTTTGATTAAGTGTAAATTAAAAGCACTGCAGGGCTGAAATTACCGCTTTTCGAACCAAAACCTCAGCTATCTACCTGGAGGAACTTTGCATCATAGTGATGTTCTCAGATGCTAAATATTAGCTAAGCTTCTAATACCTAAATGACTTAGCCAAACCAATAATACTGCTGCCACAGTAATAGGTAAAGGACAAAAAAAAAGCACTGGATAAGTACCATCAAGTGTATTCCCACCTTTGTGGCCAAATTGGGATAACACCTAAATTATATTTGTTATATGTTCCCATTCACATAGCATAACTTTAAAATTGCTGCTTACCTTTTTACCTGTCTAAAAATCCTACATAGCTTTTCCCTTCTATGTAGTGTTGGTGCAATGCCGTTAAAATGTTTATTTTAGTGGAGAGGGATTAGAACCACCGTCAGGTTATTATAGCCGTCTGTGTCCCCACTAGGGAGATCCATCCCATTTGTCTTAGTGACCGTAATCACAAAGAGAAAAAGTGAAAGGAAATCCAAAATTCAGTGGTCACCAGAACAGGAGTGAAGTCTATTATAAAAACTTCTGATTGTGGCATTTGTCCCCATAACGGTCTAAAAAGAAGATTTTCCTCACTTTGGAGAAAACTTTCTGTTGTTGCCATAGGAGAAGTGAAGAGAAACCTAGCCAATGGGACACGGATGGCAAAAAACTGACAGAAATTATAACCCTCTGGTTTACTTTTACTTTGAGGGAGTGTTATCACTTGATCTATTACCAAAATTAACCCTGTCTGTAGTGTGCTGGCAGATCTTATCAATTGTAAACTAGATGTGCAGCACTGTCTACCCTAACAAAGGGTTAAAGATGTCAAGGTTTGGGCAGTACACTGTATGGTTTCTGCACTTTCAACAACAAAAAAACAATATATAACAGTTCCTTAAAGAACTCTGGGCATATACAAATCTTAACCCTTGCAGTAGGGCTACCCCCACACTGAAAGGGTTAAGTATTTATTTTGTCTGGAGCTAAAATATCAGAGATGTACTCAAATCTCAGACCTAGCAGGCTGCTAGACTAGTCCCCTGCAGCCTCTCTCCCTCTCCGTTCTGGTGATATAATGTCCCTCAGCATCCCCATGCCCAATACACTGTATTGAACTTAATAGCTTAAAGGACCTTAGACTTCAGGAGCAAAAGGAGAGCGAGGCTCCAGGGACCGGTGAGTATATCTGTTATTTTAGCTTCCTAGACAAAAATGAGCACCTAACCCTCACAGTGCAGTATCCTTGCAGGTAGCCTCACTGCAAGGGTTAAGGTTTTATATGCCCGGTGTTCTTTAAATATGACTGCAACAGTTGAAATACACTTTAACAGCAAACCTGCAATAATAAAAACAAAAAAAACTTTCTCCACTGTGTACTAGACACATTCCAGTCCTTTTACCCTTTTGCTGTCACTGCCCTAATATTGTGCCAAAGCAAATTCTAATGCAGCTTACATTCACGTGGAACATGACTGAATTTCAAGAATGGTTAATAATTCAATGAAGCACAATTGTAGTACAAATATGTTTTGTATTTAAACATGACCTGTTCCATTTCAAAGCTAACACAGTAACAAATAAATAAACAATACACACTAACTAAAGCACCTATGTGAAATCACTAGTTATGCAAGCTTTCTTTATCTGCTCTTATCTATGCATACAAGGAAATGCAAAAACACTGGATTATGCTTGTGTGTATATGATATATATATATTTTTTTTACAAATATACCTCTATGAGAAGTGTCTGTATGGCTATTACCATTGTAGACATTCAACTTTTCTAGTAGATCTGTCAAAAAAGGCTTCTCTGTGTAAACAAGACACCGGAAGGTTCTTGTATGTACCCTCTTTTGGATTAAAATTACCTCACTCTGCACCCCAGAAGACTGCAAATTTCAGTGCAAATTTTGACAAAGAAAGTCAGAGCCTGAATTCATGGGACACATGTGAAGTACAACCAAGTAATACAAAGCTAATAGAGGAACGCAAACTAACCTGCTAGTGACTGCTTTCGCAAGGTTTATCTTTTTTGCTCACTATTTAAGCAACAGGAGTATTTTAAGATGATCAATTATACTCTAGCTATAGGAGGTTAGTTTAAAGCAGCCTCTCTCAACCAGGGTGCCTCAAAATGATCACAGAGCCATGCCTTTCCATTGTGCAGCAGGGCGGCCACCACACCATGGAAACAAATCGCACTAATCCATGTAGGGTGGGATCCATTAAAAAAAGGAAGGAATAGTGCCCCTGTCCAGGCCACCTTCTGCCCTTCGCCATAGCTGTGAGGGGGGGCTTCTGATGTGAAGGAGAAAATCAGATGTATAAGGGGTGTAGAGCACACCTGAGCAAGAAGGGGGCTCTGATGTGAAAGGTGGGGCCTCTGATGTAAAGTGGTTCTCCAAGGGTGAAAGGGGAGGACTTACGTGAAAGAGTTGGGCTCCAGATTGGAAGGGGGCAGCTAATATAAAGGGTTTCCCCTCTAAAATCAATTACATTTTAGACTGGGGTGTCTTATGAGTTTGCATACTTTTCAAAGGTTCCTGGTGAAAACAATGTTGAGAAAAGCTGGTTTAAACGCAACAAAAGGTAACTAGTACCATATAGGGTGATAAACTGAAACAGCGCTGTCATTTAGTAATTCTCACCTTACACAATGCACATACATTACACATGGCCACTTTTTGATCAATTTTAGCATAGTAAAGTCCTTTGACAATGTAGAAAATTAGAAAATGCACGCTTTATAGCACATAATGAAACAAACAAAACATAAAACAAGTCACTACAAAGAATTCTACACTTAGACAAAACAAGGTTTTGAGTTACATTGATTGAAGTAAACCTGTCAAGAGAAAGACATATAGGCTGGCATTTTTGATGTCTACTGAAAAGGCTATTGTCACAGACCCCTGGATAAAATATTCAGGATAAAATCACAAGGCTAGTGCCTCCTAAACCTCAGGACTAAATAAGTGAAATGGTTTTCAGTTGTGTGGTCAGGGGGCAATAAAAGTATAGTTACCTAAACAATGAGTAACTCTACTCCAAATAAATGATTTCATAGCTGGCAGAACATTGCTCCTGAAAACATGGGTGCTGGATGCTCTTCTCCAGCCTTGGGAGTCCCTGATCAGGGAAAAGGTATGCAAATAGTGATGTTTCTTAGACTAACTTGACCTGGATACTTGTTGGCCATTAGTAAATGCATCTAAGGCAATGTGCCAGACAGCTAGCTTTTTAAGAATGAGGTAATTAATGACAGCCTCTATAATTCTCTCATTACAGATTTACTTTATCTTTTTGATCTTTACAGTCCTTTGCAAGAATTCTGTTGCCTGGACTTTACCTATAATGTGTTTAAGCACAAAATGACGGACAATAATGACTGGAAAAAGAGAACCACTTTATAAAAGTTCCCCTAAAAAGTAAAACAGCTAAACAACAGTCCTACCTAAATACCAAAAGTTTGCTATTTTAGCTCAGCCAAAACAGATGCCAGTTCTTGGTTTTTCTTCACTGCAGTCAAAGCAGCAGTAGCTAAATACAGAGGTTATCTCTGCGTTGTCAGAAAGCTCCATTTGGTTGGTGCACTCTGCAATATATTAAAGCCCTTTGGCTAACAACACTGCCCCATGCTTTTAATGCTAGAAGACAGATATGCCCAGGATTACAGTAAACCGGACAGGTTTAAGCAATATTTAATTTAAAAAAATATATATTTTTCTAAAGAACACATAACTGAAATAAAATAGGAAATAAATAAGGACTGTATCAAGCAAACAGGTTTCTATTCTCAGATGGGAGTATATGCAGGAATAGATAGTTGGCTGTAGACAGCACTCGGGCAGAAGGAACTGTGTGCAAATGTTCCAAAAAGATTTTAAACTTGAGTATTCCTTTGTTATTAATCGAGAAATTAATTATTTGCTATACTATGCCAGTACATAAAGCTTCTTTCTTACCTTTTCATTGTCTGAATGCTCCCATCTGACCAGCGGCAAAGGCTGTGTTGGCATGCAATAGTGGACTGGACTCACTTTAAAGGTTGTTGTTTCTAAACTTATCTTGTATATTATTTATGTGGCAGAGCTATCACATAATTCCATGTAAAAAATATTTTTATATTTTCATTTTTTTAATATATAGTCTTCTGAACCATTTCCTAAATGGCCAGAGAGTCAAACCTAATTAAGAAGTCATGCACAGCAAACATTAGAAAAAGGAACCAAGAAGATCAGCTCACAGCAGAGCCCTGGCTGGCACAGCAGGAGTGGCAGAGGGTCACATGCAGAAATTAAGTTCAGCTCTGAATTGACCCAATTGCTGCCAGACCAATTTTTCCTTTTTTTTTCCACACATAAATTTTCATTATTGACTTGAAAATGTATAAAAAGAAAACAATATATATTTTTGAAGGGAAAGGACCTATAGCATAAAAACATATTAGTCCTAATTATGTTATAGAATATTTGCGCAAAATGTTTATGAAATGTATATTTTCCATTAACAAATGGAGAAAATCTACAATAGCAAAAATTGTAAATAGGCAATGCATTAAATATCTCCCCCATCACTTTGGAATTAATACTATTTTCCTACCTCTGGCATTTGTGCAGATACACAATATGTACAATGCAACAGGCCTCTATATACACACACACCAGAATTCTTGTGTGAATTCTTTTAAAAGGAGAACTATGGGGTCAGTGTTTTTCCCCATAGTTCTCCTTAGGGTAACGGGAGGACACAAACTAGCGTCCTCCCGTTACCCTAAGCTCAGTATACCGCGAGCTACAGCTCGCGGTATACTGAGATGCCGCACCTGGAGCGGATCCCGACTCGGAAGACGGGATCCACCCAGCTGCGT